AAATTTAAATATTAAAAAAATTAGTAAAAATCTTCGCAGGCAAATTTGCCTGTGTTACAATTTAAGGGATAGCAAGTTGAACATAGGTACCAATTGAGGTAACTGGGTTAGTTTTAACTTGTAATTTAGGTAACATTAGGTTTAATATTATGGCACTTGTCGTTTAGAGATAGTTCTCATATGCTATTTGCTGACAAGTTAAGAGTTTATCACTTACCTTCTGAAATACAACCTAGTGTAAAATTTTACCAGTCTAGAAGATTCGTACAAAGCCTAATAAAGTTAAAACATGACTGCCGAATTTATAAAAAAAAAAATTTAAAAAATTTAAAATTTAATTTTTATATATATAAGTTTAAAAATATCTATTATTAATAACCTAATATATATAATTATTATTTAGACATATCTTATATTTATGACTATTTTTATAATTATTTTATTTTTTTAACTTTTTATTTGTTTTCATTTTCTATTGACAATCTTATAATTAAATAATTTTATACTCTTTGCTGTCATTTATCTGCAAATATTATTTCTTGAAAATTAAAAACTATTTATATTTTATACAGAAAATTAGTTTATTGGAAAAAAAATGCTGGTTAAAAACTATTAGTGAAATGGGATATTTACCTAGGTATTATTAAATTACCTGGCTATCCAGGTAATTTATTATAGCTATATAATAAAAATATCTACTCAGGTACAATCTCTAGTTTAGAGATATGTTCTGTTATAAAATAAGCAGATATCAAGAAATTAAACAAACATTACATAATAATAGCCTAAAGAGTTCAAGAACTATTAAGTGTTCGCTAATATGTATTTATAATCAAATATGTAAATTAATTAAAGAAATCACCAATTTTTATTGGCTAATCAATATCTAAATCACCTGTACAAATATGTGTGAAAATTAACAGAAAAAAATTGCTAAATTCTGAACACCCTACTAGGTGGCTATAATTTCAAATGGGTTACCCACTCACCCACAGATGACCCGAGTGAGACCTACCCGGGTCAGAACACTATACAGAGATAATTAATTAAATTAATTACCACCAGCTGTAATCAAACCATTGACCTCGCCTGTAGAGGGTTAGGCACCTAGACCACTAGGCTACAAGACCCTAACCCTGTAATTTATAAAAATTTAATCAATTACAAAGTTAGTAATATACAAACTAAAAGACTATTTTAACTCTTTTTAAAGCTATTTAATATTTTTAATTATTTATTAAATATATATATTTTAATATTTAGTATATATTTAGATTATTTTTGTATATACTATAAAATATTGAATAACTACTATATACAGTATATATTTTTTTAAAAAATATATACTGTATCTAGTATGTTTTAAAATATATATATTAATTACAAATATAGATATTGATTTTTTTAAAAGTAAAATTGTCAAATACTACGGTAATATAACAGAATATAACTTGTTAAAGCTTAAAGTTTGGTTTTTATTAATTTGCAAAAAAGGCATTTACTTCAAATTAAAATATAAAAGTAGTATTAGCTTTTTAAACAAATGAAACTTTTTAATACGTATTAGCATCATAAGTACAGGAGTAGCCCCTGAAAAAGTATATATTGCTGTACGACTACAATCAACGAATCGTTGTCGATCGATAAACTCATCGTTATCTACTAATCTTATCGATAAAATACAATAAACATAATTGATCGTAATCTATTAATTGTTAACATCTTTTAAAATTTCATGATGAATATTCAAGAATGGATATCTAATGTTACGGCTGAATACACCGACGAAATGTTCATACCACTGACACCACCACCATCTAGACACGATGAAGAAAGTGACGCGACGTCAATATCGGACTGTTCAATAATTAGATCTGTTATTACCAAACGTAATTGTACTATTGATCAAGCCAAAGAAGATGATGTTATCACAGATGTTCTCGGTCCAAATACAAATTGTGATGTTGATGACTCCGATGCTATATCCGTATCCACTGTCATATCAAGTAGTCACAGCTTTAAAGACGCGCATTGCTATCATAATACAACTACCAGCATTCCTTCTTCTGATGAAGCAATTATAGAATGGAGACAGGACAAGATTCACAGTAATTCGTTTCTGCATGAGCCTCTTTATGACTTCAACCGCACACTCTCACCAGAAGCTAGACAGATGAGTTGTCCTCTATACAACTTTAATCATCTGTCACCACAAGGAACAATGAGAACAGATGGTTCTCATTACGATTTCAATCATCAGCTTCCGCAAGTTAATATGTACAACTATGCTTCCTGCAATCAAAATAATCCACCTCTACCAGGATCCATACGAACTAACTGTGTAACGTGTATTCTACCAACTAGCGTTAAAACTACCATTTTTCTTGGAGGATCAGTAAATATTTCTCTGAATCGATAACTTCATATTCATCATAGCGCAGATTAATGCTTTTTAATATAGAATGAAGCAATATCATGTAGTAAATCTGTTGTACATATTCAACACTTTGACATTTGGAATATATTGTTTAGGAGCTAATATACTATCATTCACTCGAATATAATCTATGTTAATATAAATTTGCATGCGATCTTATAAAAAAAAGTTGCTTGTTTAGTATATAGCAACAATATTTAGAGGGTAATTTGAACACATGATAACTAGAAAATCATTATACAGAAAAGAACAGACAAATTCATATCATAAATTGTCCGGAGTCCAGTGGAATATAATTATCCATAGGTGACACAATTCTGTTACGGTTAGCAATATTAGAGGTAATGTTATCTTATATTAAAGCAATTAGACATAAGTTGTTATATTTCTGATATTAAAAGATTATACAGTATTTCAAATTAATTATTATTCTTATTATTTTGCAGTTTTAAAAGTTTTTTTTTAAAAAAAATTATATCTTTAAATTATATTTAACTGATTAAGATAATCTGAATAGTATTGAAGTTGTTTAAATTTAATTACCAGATTTTAAAATATTTGTAAAAATATTTATAAATCTTTTTTATTATAGGTGGGTGGGTATATAGAATTATATAAAATTATAATATATAAAAACTAATTATTTTGAGCTAATTTAAACTCTAATCTTTATTTTAATTTTAACTACAATTAGACCTTTCTAAATGCATCCTTTATAAGTACACATCTTCTCTAAATACACACTTAAGTGCTAGCCCAAATATATATTTAACTTTTATAAATGCTTTATATATATACATATTATTAAAGTATAATTCTAAAAGCATATATTTAGAAATGTTTAACTATATTTATAAATTAGTTTAAATTAGTTTAAAATAAGATAGCTAATTTATATATATATATTATAATTTTAGGATAAGTCTATTTGTAGCAGCCTGTTACATGCTTATTTGTAACAGTTTGACCTATAACTCAAAATTTTACTAAGATAATCTCTTTTGCGCTACTAATGAAAAATGATACTCTCGCGATTTTGTATTAATCTTGATACTAACTCTAAACCTAACCTAACACTAACCCTAACACTAACACTAACCCTAACACTAACCCTAACACTAATGCTAACCTTAACACTAACCCTAACACTAACCTAACATTTATCCAAAATTAATAAACTGTTACAAATAAGTGTATAACAGGCTGTTACAAATAGATATTTCCATAATTTTATAATAATTATATATATTAAGTTATATTAAAAAATTAATTATTAAATAATAATAAAAAAACTCTTTTTAATGATTACTTGGACTAATATATTGTTTTTTAAAACATAACCATTTTTATATAGCTGAGGATAAGTCTTGAATTTATAAGTTGGTTTAGAGGTAGTTTTTATATACTACCTGCTAATAGTCTTAGAGTTTATTACTCACTGCAAGAGCAGCACTTGTTATTTAAAAGTAGTTTTTATATACTACTTGCTGACAAGTTCAGAGTTATTACTTATTGAAAAATAAAAGTAGAGCATTGTCTAGGTTATTAGTTGTTATATTTCTTCTAAATAAATATATATATTTTTTTTAGATACAAGTAGTCTCTTTTTTGGTTTCTTGTGCTTCTCTGCTAGTCTTACAAAATTTTTTAACATAAAGTGAGAATTTGGTTTACTCTTTTCAAAAGATCAGTATTGTTTATTTACCAAATTTAGATGAACTCAGAAATGCAACCATGTATCTATTTATCTATAGATATGGTGTTCTTATTATATTTGTCTGTAGATATAGTAACTGGAATCAGGTTTCTGAAGCATAGTGGAATCTTCATTACACAAGCCTTCCGGATCTGAAAATTGTAACTCAGGTCTGGCTCAAAGCTAAATCGACCAATAAGAATGCATGAATTTTACAATATACAGTATCATAATATGAGCATTAGTAAGTTATATATTTCTTTATTACAGTAAAACTTCCCTAAGTGCACCCTCTATAAGTGTATACTCTTCTAAATACATGCTCAAGTTCTGGCCCAAATATATACATGCTCCTATAAATGCACTTTTTTTTATTAATCTCTAAGTACACATTGTTAAAAGCTTGGTCCCAAGTGTATATATAATCTACCAATGCCTTTATCTTTACCAACTATAGTTTCTTTTTACTATAAGTATTGTATGGTATTTCATAGCTACTTCATTCTAATTTATATTTACATGTTTAATAAATTTACAGATATATAGAGTAGTGATTTCAAAGTATATGGATCAACTCAAAATGCTACAACAACTACATATATGTTAGTATTTAATAAATTGGTAATTGAGTTATAGTTTTTATATAACAGTTTTAAATTCATTTGGACTAATTTTGACTATTGGATCTTTTTTTTTTTGGTCTCTAGAAGAAATGATGAAAAATAGAAAGCTTTTAGAAAATAATTCAAAGATAAATAAAGTGTTGATGGCTTTGTTAAAAAATTTCAGCTTAGAACTAAAGAATATAAAAATGTAATTGAATAAGTTTTTTTAATAGATTAGTAGTTAGATAATATTTAAAAGAATAGTGACAAGTTGGTTAAGTAGTGTATTACAAGTTATATATATAGTAGTTGGGTTAAAATTATATAAATTTATTGTAATGTTTATTAAATTCTAAATTCTTTACTTTATTTCACTTATTCAAAAAAAAATAAATAAATAAACAAATAAAATTTAAATTTTTGAAAAAAACTTTATTAAATAAATAGAATTAAATTATATTAAAAAAAATATCAATATTAAATAACTATATTAGCATTCAAAAATTTTTCAAGAGCTATAAAATAAGCTTGCTTCGCCTTTGGCAATGCTTGCTTGTCTTTTTGAAATACTTCTAATATATCATCTTTATTTTCTATCTTCTAATCTTGTAGACTGTCTTTATCAGCTTCAATAATTTCTTTAAAATTCAATTTCAATTTATCTATTTTGCTTAGCTATGAAAATAGAGAAGAAATATTATTTTTTATACCCAATTTAAAAAAAATTTCACAATAATAACATTTTCTATTCAATAAAGTGAAACAGCTCTCATGGTATCCATAACTACATACAATAACTATAGAGCCTTTACCTGTCCCATCACATAATAATTCATGACAATGATCACATTTGTCATATGATAGCAAATGCTCGCTGAACCCCAATAGCATTTGTTTTTTGTTTACAATACCAATTTGTAGATAATTTTTTTTCCCAGGCCTTTGATGATAGAACTTTGGCCTAAACTTCGATAAATATTACCAAAGATTTTAAGAAGAAACACTTTCATCTTTTTTGTTAATAAAGCCAAAGTATCTTTATCCACATATATAGACTTTTTTAAAATGACAAATGCATCTTCAAATGCATTAATAGTCTTTTTGGCATCAATAACTTTGGCTATTTTAGAAAGCTGCTGTAGGCCATCACAAAATAAGATCTGTCATTGTATTCTGCTATGCATATTTTTAACAAGATAATCTGTAAATTTAACTAAACAGGTTTTTAGTGTATCTAATATTGGATGATTATTTTGACTCTAATAAAATATATTTAAAAGAAAAGCTAAAGATGCTTTGTTATAATTATGCCTTTCAAACTGCAAAAAAATACACCAAGTATAAAATACTCCTTCAATATATAATTTCCAATTCCCAGATTGAAATAGAGTTAAATATATATCTAATCTAACTAGTATCGTGTTGTCTAATAATTCAAACAAAAATAAAAATTTAGTATCTTTACAATACTTATTAAATTTACTTATTACAATTAGTTTTATTTCTTTCCAAGCACTTCTTATTAGCTCTAAAAGCACGAATATTCGATATGGGCTTGGTGTTTTACTTAAAGCTTTACTTGTATTAAAAACATATTGATACTCCCTATTAAAAAAATCTCAATAAATTTTTAGTATAGATTTGAGCAAATTCAGTTAAATATAAAGAATACCAATAATTGAAATAAAAGATAATATATTATTCGGTATATTATCTTCATGATTTAGCAAACAAAAAGTAATGGCTTGTTAAGTAAAAACTTGCCCAGACCAATTGGCTATAACTATAAATAACGAAATCGATTAAATAATTAGTTAATAAGGGATTCTTATGAACTTCTTGTAAAGCAATAATATACAAATTCACCTCTTTTAAACTTAATTCAAAAAAGTTTAAAAGAATTGTATCTTTTATTTTACGCTCTTCTCATCATTCTTTTATATGGGTATCATATTTGTGAAAAGTTATATTTTCAAGCCTCATGTCTTAAGGAATTTCATAATGAAACTGGTTGTTAAACGTTTTAGCTATTTATCCCATATAGCAGTAATCTAAAAAAGTACATATAAGATCAGAGTCAATTAATTTTAGGTTATGAACTAATATACCATTTGGTGCGATTCGTGAAATCACAGCCATATCAACACAATTTAGTAGCAAGATTGTCATATATGCTGCAGTTGATATTAAACATGTATTCGGAGTTTATTTCGTATGAATATTATGATAATCATCAACATTAAGCACTAAGGCATTGCTTTTTTTACTCTCTATATATGAAGCAACCCTATACAGATGATTATTAGCGATAGCTGTCTTCTCTCTGTCAAGATATCTATATCAAATCGTTATGCTAG